CTAACAAACGGTGACCATTAGGGGCCAGCTGCCCGGGCATGATCCCGTAGGTCTCAAGGAAAAGGACTTTGAATGGGTGAATAGAGAACTCACCCAAGTCCTTGATCGAATGGTAATGGATCCCAATCGACGTGCCGGCATGGAGAGGTATAATGCTCTTCCACGTTGCCCGGTAGGTCAATTGATACCCATCAGGCATTAGATTACGCAGTTCGTGGACTTGGGGTTTCTGCATGTACGACGGTTGCTCTTGGAGCAACCGATCGTCTAGCTGAATGAGGCCCTTGTCCCCGGACTGGGCAACCGAGACCACTTGCGTCGCGGAAGAAGAGGGAGCGCAAGTGGAAGCATCAACCGGCTTCTTCTGTGGAGAAGTAGCCGGGTGCTCAGAGTCGGAGGATGAAGAAGAGGAGGAACCAAAGGTGGGAGACCGGCCGCCAGAACCATAAGAATGAACAGAGGGGTTCTGACTATCCTCACGGTCTGACATGACTCAGAGAAGGAATGAAAGAAACTTACTTGGAGACGATTAGAAGACTCGGAGGACTCGGAGGACTCGGAAATAGTAGAAGCAGCCGGGCAGGTTTTTGAATTGAAGATTTGCAAGTGAGGAAATTCCAAGGAGAACGACGCTTTATATAGGAGAGATGCCGCCCAGACGGGCGAATGAAGAAATGACATGTGGCGGCTGAAATGATTTGCAATCATAACCTCTCGGGGAGACGAAACGACACGTTAAATCGGCGGCTCTATACCCGACTTCGAGAAGATTCTCCCGCTTTGGACCACCGTTTTTTGAAAATTCAAAATTCAAAATTCAAAATTCAAATATTTTGGGTTGGCGCTGGTTTTCCGAGACGATTTCCCCGCCGAAAAGCGACTGGGCTGTTCAAATTCCAGGAAATGATCGCATGTGCTTCCCGCCCCTGATGGTCCCCACAGGATCGGGAATCGGAGGACTCCTTGATGGGTAATAACCCAAGGATACCACCCGGTTGGTTCACCGAACAGCACGCGTCTTTTTCAGCCCGAGTTATTTGACCGGTTGGATGAGGAGACCAGATGCCAATACCCGAAGATTTACTTTCAAAGTGCACCTGGTGGGCCGGTCAGCCGCCTGACCGGTTGGATAATCAGAGACGTGCTTGACGTGCTTAGGATTA